GAAGTCACATACGGTGTTATTGTTTCAGATGTTAACCAAGTATTGTTTCACTCAGTGTCAGATTGAAGTCACATACGGTGTTATTGTTTCAGATGTTAACCAAGTATTGTTTCACTCAGTGTCAGATTGAAGTCACATACGGTGTTATTGTTCCAGATGTTAACCAAGTATTGTTTCATTCAGTGTCAGATTAAAGTCACATACGTTGTTAGTGTTCCAGATGTTAGTCAAGTATTGTTTCATTCAGCGTCCGCTTGAAGTCACATACGGTGTTATTGTTTCAGATGTTAACCAAGTATTGTTTCATTCAGTGTCAGATTGAAGTCACATACGGTGTTATTGTTCCAGATGTTAAACAAGTATGTGCCTGTGTGCGTGAGTTGGTATAACATTTTTCAGCATTTTTGATGCGTCTTCATGGAACTATCACCAGATTTACAGACGTCGCCACAGGTCATATATGCCAAACGACATTAACAACAAATTATTACATTTGAACTGTATTATATAAACGTAGAATACAAACTTATATATAATAATGGCTGGAGACGGCTTGAATGAGTAATGAATGACAAAACCTTGTCGAAACGTTGTACATTTGCTGTTATGTTAAACTTATATTAAAGTTTTTCTTCATTACCCATTCAAGCCGTCTCCAGCCATTATTAGTCTCAAAGTAGGGTTCCTCGTCATCGAATTTAAACTTATATATAAATATAACTTTAGAAGATTTGTTTGTTTCTCGATAAGCGCAAAGTTACACAATGGATTATCTGTACTTTGCCCATCACGGGTATCGAAACCAGATTTCGAGCGTTGGGGGTCGTTTTAGAAGCAAAATGTTAAGAATTTTATTACACGATGAGAACAAACTAATGTAAATGTGATTAGATTAACATTGCTTAAAATACTAAAATACGAAGTTAGCCACAAAACATAATAAAAATTGTGTCTGCGAACTTACAACGCTAGAAACCGGGTGTCGATACCCGTGTTAGGCAGAGGACAAATGGCATTTGTGTAGCTTTGTGCTTATCTTCAAACAAACAAATATTTAGTAAAATAAATATACTTGCTGGAGTCAAGAGTCAAAATGAGAAGTATAAAGCTGCCTGTTTTACAGAGCATATTACTAAATATAAAACTTCTACGATCATACTTTAAATTCTAAAACACTTGTCGATCATAACTTTATATTCTTGTTAATATATAGACTTACGTGTATCTGCTGAAGACAAAAACTTTTTAAAATCTCCTGTTAAAGATATTTTGTGTTTTTATTCATCCAGATGTTAAAATATTTGCCTATGATAAATCAGTTTTTAAGTCATCTGACCAGTTACAAAATTAAATTTTTGTTGTTTTAGGGCAAAGCGACACATTGAATTACCTGTTCATCTCTGATTTTTGCACTATAAGTCGGTAAACTTACCGCTAACCCACCAGGGGACAAAAATTAAATTATGAAACAATGAATGCTTTTTACAATGTTTTTGATAGCACAAGTTGTTAAGGTTTTAAGATGAATTTTATGTAATACCATAAACTTTAATCATGACTTTTATATCTTCCAGCGAAGAGGAGGAAGAGGAAGAAGAAGTCAAGTAAGTTTTATTTTAAATACTTAAATAATTTGAAATATATCTATAATAATAAAACTAATGAAAAGTTTAGGACTAAATTCAAACCAATAATTTTGAGAAAGTAGAACTTCATCATTTAATTTATTTTTTCGACACCAGGTTCAGTCAGAATATTCTTAAAAACTATATAATCACGACTTCCCCAAACACCAAAAAAAAAAGAGTCCATATCTATTAACATTTTAATGTAAGGCAATTTAATGATAAGTAATTGTAGTTTTATTACATAACCTATTATAAAAAATATCACAAATTTATAGGAAAAGGAACCGGGAAAAAATATTCGTTTTTGTGTCAGAAAGAACTTGACCGGCAGGTGGTGTTACAAAAGTAAAATCAGATAAAAATAAAAATTATAAAAAAGTAATAAAAATATTTGCATTATTATATTGGATACACATTGTCAATAGAGTCAAAGAAATACGTATAGATGTCGCTCCGTTACTAAGTTTTGATTCTAGCACAATGGCATTGTGTAACATACAATGACGCTGGAAACATTTCTGTAGAGGGGCTGAAAGCTATTGAACAAAATCAGAACCCCTATCAATCAGAAACCACGTCAAACCAGGGGGTTGCTGCCGTACCCTTCGAACCCACGACCTTGGTAACATAAACATTCTTTATTGTGATTCTTTTAAGCTTTACGGATAATAAATTTATAGCTACATATATAGAAACGTCAAGGTATTATTTACCAATCTAGAAACGTTAAAATAATCAATTGGAGAATTTTTTTTTCTTTGATCACGAACTAAACAATTTTGTTGCTATGGAAACAAAACCGGGTTACTTGAAGGTAAATAAGATACTGTCTAATCCTCTAAATCAGCTTTTCCCAAACTTTTTTGGCCCCCGAACACTTTTCAGCTGAGAAAAAGTTTACGGAACTCTAGACACCTGAAATATCGGTGTAGAGGTTATGATGCGCGCGCAGCGCCCTCTATCTTTGTATATTATTTATTCATTTATTTAATCAAATTAATTTATGAATTTTTACATTTTTATGCTTATAATATATTTTAGATACAAACCTCTCCACTAAGATATTATGTAGAATAGATATGTCATCTTCTATAATTGTTATTCAATGCGAAATCAATATTATCTAATTCTAATATATAGGAACATATTTCATGATAAGTTACGATCGTACAAAAAGTTTTAAATATTTTATTAAAATTTAAAATCATAATTTCCTCACATAGCACCTATCAATCTCGGACGGAACACTAAACAATCTAAACAATGAAGAAGTATACAAGAGTATTTCTTATCCAATTAAAATAAACACCACATCATCTCGACTATTTCCAGTGCGCTTTGAATTATAGATCATGAAACTGTTTTAGGGTGAAAAAATAAAAGCTGTGGAGTTTATCTATTCGTTTGTTTGAAATCAAACAAAATTAACGACGCGCTGATGTATGTTTATAAATAAATGCGAAGATATTTATATCTCGGTGACATACAAGCATACTGCTGCAGAATTACTACATCTTAATAAACAAAACTGGCAATTTGATGTGTACAGGATGGTTGCTGGTTGGACTTAAATCCCTGCCTTTCTAAAAGTGCTATTTTTCTCAGTCATAAACTGTGTCCACAACTACTAAAAGATGTGCCTGATTCCACATATTGCTTGCTGCAAGTTATTAAGTGGGAAAAAAAATTAAATTTTTAAAATGAATGAAACAGGGTCTTGTAGATCATTGCAATAAAATAAAATAATTGCGATATACTATTAAGTGTTAATACATAATAATTCACTGTTTAGTTTTAGATTTAAATTTTTTTTATAAAACCAATTGAATAGGAACAAAGGATTTGTTTGTTTTGAATTTCGCGCAAAGCTACACGAGGGCTATGTGCGCTATCCGTCCCTAATTTAGCAGTGTAAGACTAGAGGGAAGGCAGCTAGTCATCACCACCCACCGCCAACTCTTGGGCTACTCTTTTACCAACGAATAGTGGGATTGACCGTCACATTATAACGCCCCCACGGCTGAAAGGGCGAGCATGTTTGGTGTGACGGGGATTCGAACCCGCGCCCCTCAGATTGCGAGTCGAGCGCCTTAACCACCTGGCCATGCCGGGGCCAGGAACAAAGGAGGATGTGTTTGCTTCTCATGGCTTTCTACCCTCTGTGTACCAGAAGCCATCCACAGTCCCCCTTAACACCTCCCCCTTCAAACAAAAGTCTTGCATTACGATACTTGAAAAGTGCCCTTTTTTTTTTTTCAATGAACCCTTGCTCTTTTATTATCGTCTGCTTGTTACTGGGCGGTTTTAGTCGTGTCTTAAAACTGTACTGTGTGGTTAAATTCCATCTTTAAACTTTTCCGTTTTACCTTTCATTTCACAACCATGGCATAAATATTGTTGACCTTTTTGTTTTGGATTGTTATTTTAATTTAGAATCTGTAAGCTTAATCGGAGTCATCTAAAAGACAAAATTTCGTTTATTTATGACGTTCATTCAAAATGTTTTTGCTTTTGTTGCCCACATTTCTTTCCTAGGCCTAGTAGAGGATGTCTGAGCAAGTCAAATTATGTTTCTGTTATCGAAGTGGATTGTGGGCATAAACTTAAATAGTATCGTTCGTTGTTTCACCGTTACACGAAAATATTATGCGATCCGGTTTTTAAAGATGAGAGGTTGAAATTTAACAAAATTATGTATATATATATCTTTTATTTCGCTGAGTGCAATGATTAACTATTGATATTAGCTTCTTCTGGAAGAGAAAAATATATCTTATTGTTTCTAGAGAACTTCCGTGAATTGATAATAATTTATTTTGTCTTAAGGCCTAAGCGCTAAGGCGCCAGGAAATATGCTGACAACAAAGGTTACGAGATTTAGATTTCGTATGACTTTAAGAAAGATGCCATAAACAAAGAAAGTTATCAAAAATATTCCCGTATGATTTTGTAAGGGATACTTACTGTCTTTTAAATCGCAGAAAACTTTATCTTTTCTGAATAAAAACACCTGCTTAGTTTTTTTCATTTTTTTATAAATGTTTCTTCTCAACTATTTTCATTACAAGAATCATGCGAAATTCGAATATTTTTCTAAAATCAGATCATAAATCTGAAGTTGAATTATCATGACACTAACTCGAACATTTTATAGCATAAATAAAAGACTTAGTAACAAAACGTTATCTATTTTTCACACCTGTCGCGATTTCTTGAACTTTTTTTCTCCCAGGTTTCAAGGACTTATTTATTGTCATTTCGTTTTTTTATGAAAAGTAATGAGATAAATATATATCTCTGTCATATGCAATAATATTAAAAATAATTCAACATAAATACTAATAGATAATATATAACTGTTCTTCGAAGTTTTAATAATTCTATTTTTTATTTATTTATTTGTTCACAAAAACAAAGTTTTATATCGTAATCTTACAACAGAAACTGGTTATTCTATTGTATTTGTTGGTTTTCATTGTAAACTGCGGGTGTTTAACAACTAGCTTTCGTTACGTAAATATCTAAATGACTGCAGTAATGCTTTGCATTTTTTTACGTCCATTGTACAGTCGAACCCCCATTAACGTCCTGGTTACGTTCTTGAGAACGACGATGTTATTAGAAACGACGTTATTGATATAATGATATAAGTTGAAGTTGTGTTCCAGCCGCATAACTGAACGTCCTACATATGACAAAAGGCAAAGTATGTTACAAAGTATAATATAATAATAAAAATTAATAAAGAATACATGAATATAAATAATACGTACCATAGTACAATATTCACAGAAAGTTGAGATGATAATGGTTTAATAAAGTCAGTAAAGCTAACCCACGAAAGGAATTTACGAAAATTTTTTAGTGTTTTTTGTTGTTGTTGTTGTTGTTGTTGCTGCTGCTGTTGTTGTTTTTGTAATTTCAGATTTGTTTGTTTTACTTTTTACGAAACGGCGTAATTGGGGACGGCGTTAATGGGGGGTCGACTGTACTTAATAAAAATTAAAAAACAATTATGACATTATTTTCCGTTCGACTTACGAATCACCTTTAACTGTTAGGCCTCAACAAGCACCACCTCAAGCATCAGAAGCGGAACTTGCCATGGAAGTGAGTAAATATTCAAAATATTTTAGCTTTTTCTTAACTTTTGAAAATTGAACAATATGGAAAGTGATTCACAATGAATCGTTCAGTAAGGCCAAGAAAGTTTAATTTAAGTTATTAGTTCAGTTTTATTATTATATTAGACTTAAGGAATATTGTTGACCAGGAAAAGATGAGAAAGAAAAAGGAAGAAGAAGAGGCTATGTGGCAAGAGTATATGGAACAAAGAAGAATACAGAGGCAGAAGGAAGAAGATGAACTTAGGAAGTTGAAAGAAAAACAGGTAATTAATATATGTAGAAAATGTAAAAGAATTATTTTTATTTATCAAACTGTCATTCCAGATCTTTTTCGTTTGACGTCATCAAAATGAAGTGCAGTCAAAATTATTAATATAGGTTTTGTTTGTTTGTTATTAAGCAAGAAGCTACACGATGGGCTAGTTGTGCTGTGCCCACCATAAGTATCGAAACCCCTTTTTTTTTTTTATTGTGTCGTAAGTACTGATACTTACCGTTGAGCCACTGGGAGGGGGCTGTTAATATAGGAAAAAATAAAACAGGTAAAAGTTAATATGATACAAGTACTAACTAGAATGAACAATAACGTGTGTTTGCTTTAGCGTAAGAGCAACCAATGGGTTATCTGTGCTGTGGCCCCCCAGTGACACAGCGGTATGTCTGCAGACTTATACTGCTACAAACCGGGTTTCGGTACCCGTGGGGGGAAGAGCACAGATAGCCCTTTGCGTAGCTTTGTGCTTAATAACAAACAACAACCAATAAACTTACGGAAAGATCGCTTACAACCATAATTTGTCCCCCTCCCCTTCATGGGTAAGCAATAAGTTTAAGGACTTACAACGCTAAAGTCCAGGGTTCGATTCTCCACAATGGACAAAATGCTGATAGCCCTTTGTGCACTAAGAAAACAACAGAAGCAGCTACTCTAATTCAACGAAAGATATCATAAAAAAATAGTCATTTTATTTCATTCATATTCAAGCTCTTACATAATTCCACAAAGCAATAATTTGATTGAGCAAAATTCAACCTACTCAGACTAATCATCGAACTAAAACGTGCTTTTATTGTAATGTAATAGTTTTTTTAACCAGTATATATTTTATTTTTACAGGCTAAACGAAAAGCTCAGAGATTCGATCAGGAAAAGAAAATGATGGAAATGAAAAAACGGCAAGAAGAAAATAGGATACGTGAGATGGTAAACCACGAGCATTAAATGACTAATTAAATAAACATGACAACATTATCGAAACTTAATATATTAGGGTTAAAGTAACAACGTTACATTAAAGTAATCCGAAACAGTTTGGGAAAAAAATAAATCCTTTGGTTTATATGATTTACTTGACGTTCATGAATTCAATTTTTATAATAAAAAAAAGGAAATACAACTGGTACTCTATAAACTTTTTTCTTTGCCATTAGGAGGAGAAGAAACAAAGAGAAGCTGAAGCTAAGAGGAAACGCTTAGAGGAGGCCGAAAGAAAGAGACAGGCCATGCAAGAAGCAATGCAGAAGCAAAAGATGCAAGAACCTGTTAAGAGGAACTTCGTGATACAAAAGAAGGAAGGTGAAGGGGGTCCTGGTGCAGCTCTTGGTCACTCTGGCTTTGACAAGGTAAGTAATCTTCCATTTATTGATGGCAAATTTCTCTTTGTGAACTCAGAGTTCAAGTTTTGGGACACGAATCTGGTATCGTGTGGGGCTGGTTTAGAAGAAACTCGCATGACACTCCACACTATCAGGGTTCATACTGATTGACACTACAGAACACTGCCTTTAGAACATCATTACCTCTACACATTTATTAAACACTGCCTTTAGAACATCATTACCTCTACACATTTATTAAACACTGCCTTTAGAACATCTTTACCTCTACACATTTATTAAACACTGCCTTTAGAACCTCATTACCTCTACACATTTATTAAACACTGCCTTTAGAACATCATTACCTCTACACATTTATTAAACGCTGCCTTTAGAACATCATTACCTTTACACATTTATTAAACGCTGCCTTTAGAACATCATTACCTTTACACATTTATTAAACACTGCCTTTAGAACATCATTACCTCTACACATTTATTAAACACTGCCTTTAGAACATCATTACCTCTACACATTTATTAAACACTGCCTTTAGAACATCATTACCTTTACACATTTATTAAACACTGCCTTTAGAACATCATTACCTTTACACATTTATT